CCAGCTCGTTAGAAGTGAGCTACGTGCATGAAGTGTGTTCCGATCGATATGATTCCTACACAGTGTTCATTGCTCCCTACTCCCTGAGCAGGGGAAATGCGTTGAAGTTTACTTCACTTCGGAACATGGGCTGGAATGTGGCCTATTGTAGTAATGTTGTCTTTGGTATTCTGGTCTGTGAGCGTAAATGCGTTCAGGGGGCGTGGCTTTGGACGGCGATTGCAGGGAGGGTGGGACGTTCGCTTTCAGTGCTATCGGGCTAAAGTTAGCATTTTCCAAGATCTCCTACTGCACCTTTAAACCGTATAAACACTTTTCATTACACCAAATACACAAAATAATGTTCTTTTTAGCAACATCATATGACCCCCTTTAAGCATTTGATTTATCATTTGTTATGTGGGTTTGAGCATTTGATTAATAATTTAAGCATTTGATTTATCATTTGCGATGTGGGTTTGAGCATTTGATTTATGATATTTATTTTAGCATTGAATTAGATTTAATTATGACAGGTTTATACTGGGTTGATAATGCAAATTAAACATCAAATACAAATTATTTTGATTTTGATATAATTCATGTTACGGTTATAGTTCTACTTTAGCACCTTTCTTGTTATGTGGTTTGTTGGCAGTGTAATGTGCTATGCAGGTGAGGTTGTGTGTGGTACTGACCGAAGGGTGGCGTGTGGAGCTGAAGGTGTACTGCACTGAGTGAGGTGGGTAACGGCTCTGCTCGCTGCTGAAGGACCCCTGGCTGGGGGGGAAGCCTGAACTAGACATGCTGCAGCTCTGTTGGGATGCTGGAGGCTCAGAGGGGGCCTGGAGCACTGCTACTCAATCATGGGCTCAAAGTTGGCATGATTACGCTGCCAAACCACCTGAGGAAGAGAGAGAGAGAGAGAGAGAAAGAGGAGAAAACATCAGAACATTTTAAGAGCCAAACATTCTGAAGGAGTCTTGGGTACAAACTCTTTCCATGACCAAGCAAGGTTTTAAAGGTCTCAAATCACAATGTGCGACCAATTGGCAACCATTTCTATTGATGAAACATGCTTTGTTTCAAAGAATTGCTATGCAAATGTAGTGCTTGGTTTTCCAGAAAAAAGTTCTGGCTTCCTAAAATGACATTTCGATTCTTATCAAGCCCATGAGATTTTTAATGACGTCAATATGTCGACAAAGCACATCAAAGAAAATGACTGCACCATGTGGCATCTGTCTTTTCAAAAATGGCTCAGTGCTCCATGACTGCCTTTCTGCTGTGTTTTTATGATTTTTAGGTTAAAAAAAACCTCACATACTTCACAACTCAAGGAACCTGTCACCATATCAACAGTTCAGTACTCAATACCAATAGCAGTGAAATTTTACAGCAATATTCATTAGCAATTAAAATACTGAAAACACTCCTTAAAGTCTGTGTAAAGAGATATCTGAGAATTGTTTCTAAACACATTATAAATGTTAGAAATATATTGCAGAAACACATTACAGTGTTTCCCCTAGGTTTACAGCTTTTTTTTTTCTGGACTCCTTTTTAATGATAAAATTAAATTTTATTAATCAAAAAGCATGTCTAATTAATAAAAATCATGAAACTTAAACAATTTAACATCAATTTATTAAAAGTTTAACAAAAATTACATGTTTAGGGCCCTATGAAATGTTTTATTTTTTCCAACCTTATGTTTTATTGTTACCAAATTATGTTTTAGCATGTCTAATTATTTGAAAGCATAAAAACAAGTTTCATTTATTCTTACAACAGCCTTATGATTTTTGCTCAGAAAATCTGTGTTGTGTATTTACATTTTTTAGGCATAAAACATTCATTTAATCTATCTTTTAAGTAATGAAAATTAAACAAATTTTATTTTTTGGAAAATAAAGGTCATTTAATATTACAATTAAAACACTGAAGAAATATTGTATGATTATTCCTTAAAAATAAGGTTTTAATAATTGTAGTAACAGTAGTAGCAGCCTATTACGTACATTCTACTGAACAATAGTAATATATTTCTGCCACAATGTCTTCAAGTTAAACCGAAATTTTATTTTGGGTTGCCGTGAATACCTTTACATTTCTGTGTGTATATGATATGGTGTATGCGCGCACGTGTGTGTGTGTGTGTGTGTGTGAGCGCGTGTGTGTGCGCGCGGGGCGGAACTCCGCTGTGCGTGATACAGAGAGCGCGACTATAACGTAGAGACCGAAATTACATGCCGTCGTGTAAATAACATAAATAACATAAGGCTATTTAGTTTGTTTAATAAAAGAACAAGGGGGCGGGCCGTCCCCCTAAAATAATGGCAGGGGAAAAACTGCATTACAAAGACTCTGAAGTATGTAGTTCTGAATTGTGGAGTTAAACAGTTTTTCACCAATTCTGTGTTCAGGATTTTTTGGGTGGGGCTAAAACGGTGGCTCGATGGCACAATGGAGCCACCGAGCGTGGCCCCGCCCCTAACACTATAAGATGTGTGTTCGACTTGAAGCAGCCCACAAAATGTATAGGAGCTATTTGAATTCTACACAGAATGCTATATTTTATAGCAATATGGATGAGATTGTGGCTGGCATACCCTGTCAAATGCGGCTTTACGGAGCTCAACGGCTCTAGCCCAAGCTGTGATATAAACAAACGCTATTGGCCATTTTAAAAAGGGGCGGGGCTGCTTGATATGTCCCGCCCTGTCTTCCTGTTTCAGAGTAACGCTGCGTGTTTCTAAGCATTTCAGGGGAACTTTAAGC